CTGCTTCCTCAGATCCTGTCTTCCCAGTTCTTCCACTGTTTACTAGCAGAGAAGAAAATAAAGTTCCTGTTCATGGAGGATATTCAGACTGTTACTGCTCTTCTGGTTTGGCTCAGAGCAGGACTAAAGTTCTGAGTAGCACTGATACCAGTGTTACTCGGAAGTTTAATGCCTAGGTGCCAGTAGCAAATACAAACAGGAGGTGCTGCTGTTGGGAAAGAGAAAACAATTAGGAATTACTGTCATGAGCTTGGATTATGTAACTGTTTATTAGATTTGCTGCTTTATATTTACTGCAAATGAGTTTAAATGTCTCTTGAAGTCACTTTTGCTTGGTGAAGATGTTTATATATTTTAGCTTTTCTCTTAGCTTACTGATTTGTGTTAATTTTGTCCTTTCTGTTCTGGAGATTCTACTGTTTTGTCCACCTAAATTTCATGGTATCTTCATACTCCAGTTCCTGTAATGTTTATGCAGAATAGAGCATCCGCCTTTCCTAGCTTTCCCTGAAGCCTTTTCTACCTCTTGGGTAAAAAGCCTGTCAGTCCAGTGCAAGTATTTGAAGGAATTGCCCTATGATTGCTTAAGTAAAAAAATTCTACAGTATTTATGAATCTGAAGACCAAAATTCATCTTCAACACTTTGATTTGATATAAGGAGGAAGAAAGTAGATTAATTTACAAATACTGGGTTGAGTTCATTTGAATGTTGTTCAATAGGTCTGCTTTTTGTCTGTAGGCATCAGCATGCATTTGACTAGAAGTCAGGACAATGAAATTTAAGAATTACATTTGTGTAGTATTCAGAGGAAACAGTTTTTTTAATTGGCTGTACTTAAATCCATCTGTGTTTTCTCATCCATGTAATCTAAAGGAGACTTAAATATTTTGAGATGAAAGAATTTATGTAAAAAAGCAGGACGCCTCTGAGGTGTTGCTTTTATAAACTGACTTTTTTATTATCGTGTTTTGTCTTACTGGTTTTTTTTTCTTCTTTTATCCTTCAAGGCCCAACTGCTACTATAAGACTCTTAACAATTAACTTTAAATTGATGAGGCCTGTCTTCCAGGTATCCTCTTTTCTGGAAATTCACTCAGGAATTATTTTAGTTGTTCCAAACATTGTAATTGCATAAGTGCATACCAGTGCATAATTTATAAATGCCAGATAGTATCTGTTGACCTCGTTTATTTTTCACTTCGATCTCATTACTGATGATTCATGTATCTTCAATTTAGGTGATTTAGTGCTTCAAAAATAACAGTAGTGAAATGTATTTCCTTTAGCATATATTTGAACACATCTGTGGGGAATATCAAGAAAGTGGTAACTCTACTTATTTTTATTCATTCTTTTAGAAAAGAGGCATCGGTTGATTGATGAAACTGTTGACTACTTCCATAACTTGCAGGGTACACAAAGAGTTTAAGGAAAGAAGATGAGTTTAAGATAATGTTTTGCTGTATGTATAATTTGGGCATCTAAAAGGTGTGGAAAGCCGATTAGTACTTGTTTAGGGCTCGAGTAATGCTTTGCAAATCCTCAGATTCGCTAGTGGCTCCCAAGGTCATCTGTGTGTGTGTTAACACAGCAGGACCAATTCTGCAACAATATCCTTTGGTTTTGTCATTAGAACTGCTGTGTGTGTAGCAGTGTTAATTTATTCCACCCTCATGAAATACTTTTCAGCTGGAGTTTGGGTATTCTCAGCTCTTTTTTGAAAGTTACAGGTGAAGTGGCTTGCTTTTATTGTGACTGGATTGTTTTTTGATGTGTTCTGCTCTGTTAACTTTCAGCAATAATAAGGCTGGTAGTGTAGTGCACCTCAGCGTGTCCCTGAGCCTGTGCACGCTGTGAAAGAAAGAAGCTTTGAAGGATTGCTTTCTTAGTCTCTTGTGGCTCAGCAGGAGTTCTTCTCTAAGCATGTTAGCTGTGTAGTCTGTGCTGTAAGCTCTTGGCTCTCTGAACAACTTGCTTTTCCACCTGCTGGGTGCTGTGGAGCAACGTGGGAAGCAAGTATTGTATTCCAGCCAGTTGTGCTTGCTTAGAGTGGTAAATGTGCAGCCGGCTGTAGGGAGGTCAAACAGAATAGGCAGGACAAAATGCTGGATAATGGGTACAACAAAGTGCTGGGCTCCTGGATAAGGCAGTAGTGAATTCTATGGTACTGGCTGAAAAATAACAAATTTCCACAGTACTGTAAGCATGGAATCCAAAGAGTTCTGAATAAATGTGTGTTCATGCTTCTCAAGATAACTATTTCAGGTTTCTTACAGTGTTTTCAAGGCTATCTGTGTCACGAGAAGCTTCAGCTCTTCAAAGTGATTTTGTGTGTGTGTTTAGAAGAGAACTCTGTGATAAAATTCATAGCTGGCCAGTAGCCCATATTACATTTGCATATACATTTGAAGAGAGAAGTGATACAAAGGTTTTTGTTCATGCAAATTAAATTATTAAAATTATTATCTTCTATTTCAGATTTTTAGATACTGTCATTTGTTATTCCACAGAAGTTTTTAACTTCAGTTTATTCTAATAGGGTATTCTTCATTACTGCACTTTATTCCCTGCCTCCTGGGAAAAGGAGAGTTGTCTAGAAACACATAGAGCTTGACAGCTGTAGGGTTTTCTTTGAGAGTCCTTGTGCTGGTCTGCCTTTCAGAATATGATGTTTGTCATTTATGAAAAATAAGTTTTATAAAAGGTCCCCTACTGTGAGTGTAGGTACAAAGTTTCAGCTGGCTTTTGTAGTTAGTGGAAACTTGTTCCCTTTTAAAATAAAAGGGGTCTGCAGCTTTACTGGAGTGGGCAGAGCTGCATTGTGATTATACTTTTTTACTGTAGCATTTCTTAAATCACAGCAGGGTAGTTCACATATCTCGCTGTTCTTTAAATCTGTCTCATTTATCTTGAGAAAGTGAGTGATATGACAATTGTAACACTGTATACTAGGATTTATCAGATATGACAGAGAGAAAGCCGTCCTGTAAGCCTGTGAGTTATTTAGTGAATGCTAAAAAGCCAGTAAAAGGGTGTCCACATACAAAGTAGTCACATAGTGGAGCGGACTTGACTTCTGTTTTTGTTGTGGTGGTGGTTGTTGTTTTGCCCCTTTTCTGAGAAAAGAAGTACTGTTTTGAAAGGGGTGAAAAAAGAAAGGCATGGTTATTAAATACTCAAAATAGTAATTAAAAAAAAAAACAACAAAAAAAAACCAACAAAACAAACACCAAAGCTTTTTTACACTAAACCTGACATTTTGTATTTCTTTGAAGATGTAGGAGAGATACAGGAAACTGTTGGAGTTTATTAGTGCTTAAAGTTATATATATCATTGTGCTGATCTGTTGTACTGTTCTAGATTGCTATTAGAAGTGGAGCTTAACAGGTGAAAAACTAACTGTAATACATTGAGGTTGAGATAGCATGATACAAACATGGGACTTCAGGTAGCTAATACATTACTTAAACACCAAGTCTTCTGGTATCTGACTTTCTGTTCTTGAGCACAGGTACTACATTCTCAGCAGTTAAGAATTCAGTTGAGTAATGTTGGAAAGTCTTTGAAGCTTAGCAATAATAGATGTGTTACAGGGGCTATTGTGCATCACTTTCATGCAAAGTCTTTGTGAATCTTTACTTAGACTTCAGCTACTTTTTGGTTACTACTGTGATGATAAGCCACAAGTGAGAAAAGCATTTGTTAACTCACACTTTATTTGCCTTCTAGCAGTCCTTGGATATTGAAGTTCTGATAGAATCTTTTGGCTGTTGAATACAATAATCATGAAATGCAAGGGAGTGGTTTTGTCACGTTAGTATGAATGTAATAGGTGCTTTGCAAAAATCTGAAATAGACCCTCATCATAACCCTAAAAAAAGACTCTTTAAAGTCTGTTCAACTCTTGTTGCGTTTTACAAAAATTGCTTGCAGCTTCTTGGATTTATAGTGATGTAACAAGGAAAGAGTTTAAGCCCTATTCTAGAGGAATATTTTTGGCTAATTGTGCTTCTCAGTTTTCCAGCATGCGTCGTGGTTTAAACCCAGTCAGCCATAAATCGGCCACGCAGTCTCTCTCTCACTCTCCCCCCTTTTCTTATCCCCGTTCCTGGAGGGATGGGAAGGAGAATCAAAAGAATGTAACTCCCACGGGTTGAGATAAGAATAGTTTAGTAACCAAGGTATAACACAAATCACTACTGCTACCACCAATAACAATAATGATAAAGGAAATAACAAGGGAAGAGAATACAACACCACCCACTGACTGATAATACCCAGCCTGACCGAGCAGTCCAACCCCGCAGTGCCCTAGCCCTTCCAGGTAACTCTCAGTTACATCCTGGGCATGACGTGCTGTGGTATGGAATACCTCTTTGGCTAGTTTGGGTCAGGTGTCCTGTCTCTGCTTCCTCCCAGCTTTCCATCCTCCCTAGCAGAGCATGAGACTCAGAAAGTCCTTGGTCAGACTAAACATTTGATCAGTAACTAAAAACTTCGGTGTTATCAGCAGTGTTCCCAGGCCAAAAGTCAAAAACACAGCGCAGCACCAGGTACTAAGAAGGAGAAAAAAATGACTGCTGCTGCTGAACCCAGGACAGCGTGTTATTCCTAGCATTTTGCAAATAACTAAGACGTTTATGCTTTGTGATAACTTCAGGCTTTTCTGCAAACTGTTCACAATTTCACTGGCAGTAAGTATATTTCATGTAGGTCAGATTAAGTTATGCCTACATGGTACCACAGGGGGACTGTGTAAAGTCCTGTACTAGCACATTCCAGGGAAATGTTACATAGGTATACCTGTGATATATTAAGTGTTTTAATATCAGATTTTGAGACATAATGATTCCCATTTTTGTGTTTAAACCGTTGTCTCCCTTGATATCTAGATCTAAAAATGTAATCCAGTAATTCTTTCACACATGCAGCTGGGGAAGGAAGAGAAGTTGTTGTGGTGGCTTAGAAGAAAATTGATTTTGTGTTCTTTCTTACAGAAAATGCAGGAAGCCTCAGAAGACCATAATCATTGGAAGGCCTGTTGAATTCCATTTTTTGGTAATCTGGGACATCATCAGTCTGGCATGGCGCAGAGCAGTCAGCAACTCAACGTTCAGGTACTCCATGATCTCCGACAACGTTTCCCTGAGATACCCGAAGGGGTGGTGTCTCAGTGCATGCTTCAGGTATGGTAAGGGTTTTAAGAGCCTATGTGTTTTATTTTTGAGGTATAAAAATTCGTTTTAGTAGTGTACATGGAGCACAGATTTTCATTTTTCTGCTTTTATTTTTAAACAGTGGAAGACTGCACTACTTGAATTGTGTCCTGTCTTCTATGTAAAAAGATTTTAGAATTCTTCACTTATGCTTGTGGGGGTTTTCCTGCTGTTTTTCCTCGTCTGTGTGACCTGTGACCCTATGCATATAGGGAATAAGGGAAGTGGCTAATAGGATGGTTATTGATGATGGCTACACAAATAACATACTGGGAGACATTTTAGCAAATAATGACTCATTCTGCTGAGATGAGGAACTGCCCCTAGCTAGGAATCTAAAGGTTTTCTGTCTTCATAGTGTCTTTTTGCCATGGCTGTCCATCCAAAGGTTTATTTTCACTTCTCTGTTTCCAAATTAGGTGGCAGTTCTTTTTTCTTTTTTTTCTTTTTTCCTTTTTTTTTCATTCTCTTGTTTTCCCTTTCCTTTCCATTTTTTCCTTCCACCTTCATCTAAAATCATAAATTGGAAGTGATGGGAAGTGATAGTAAGTGATCATACATAATCATTTTCATAGTCGTGGTCATCTGGAGATACCTTCCATTAATGGGAAGATTTAGGAGAAGAATAGGAACATACAAGATCTTTTGGCTTTGTGTGTCTGTGGCTAATGTAGAATCTAATGTGATAAACTGCTGGAGATGAAAGTAGTGGCAGAGGAGTAGATTTACTTATAAGTGTGGCTGTAACGTTTGCATTGTGTGTCTTCTAAACCATACAAATACAAATTAATTGATTTCAGACAACTGTGAAGCAGGGGAAGCCCTGCAATGTAAAGCTTTACTTATCCTGATGTTCATCTCTACTGTTAAGTACATTATCCTTTTGATGAACTATGTTTGTCATAGACATCTTTAAACTGATAAAATTAAACTGCCCCTAATGCTGCAGAAGCATATATGTATCTATAATAGTGATATTATATATTATGTATATTATATATTACATGTATAGCTGGGTAATGTTGCAAATATCTGTCATTTTTTTTTCCAAACCCACTTTATATTTGTTTTAAGATACATGAGCTGGTTTCCATTAACATTTTGCAATACATGCTCTAGATGTAAACCAGTGTGTGTTTTGGACATATCAAAAATTGAGGGTGCTTTGAAATGGCAAATATATTCCATACTCTGAGTAAATCACATTTGGGCCTGTCCCTTCTACTTTCTCTCTACCTCCACCCTGATGAAATGACTTTAGGAAGCTGAGGAGTCTATGAAGTTCAGTTTAGAAATTAAGTGGCTTTTTGTAGCGGTTAGGTTTTTTGAGATTGCTGTCTTGGAACTGTGGTGCTGGTTATTATTACAGGGTCTGATTCCCACATATTCTGGTTTTATTTTTTTCTGTGATATGTCTGGATATTTTCATTGACCATTGGAGTCTAGAAAGAAAGCTTCACATGGAAGGAAAGTAGTCAGGGAGAAGTATCTATAGGGTTCATCGAACATAATTGCTAGACACTTCTGTCATGTTCAGTAGTAAGTCTTTGTCTGAGATGCTTAATATGTATGTTTGCCTGATAGTGGAATCATATGAGATTTTGGGAAAGTAGTCTTCGCTTTAGCATGAAGACTGACTAGGTATCAGTAAAGGACTGATATGACTTTTCAATTAGTGTGTAGGCTGTTGTGTTACAAGGTCGTGTGAGTATTAATATGTATACAAACTTTACATAGTGATAGTATTTGAAATAGAAGTGAAACCATTAGTGGCATATATTCCTTAAAATGGTAATCTTAGCACACTAAGGAAGGTGGGGGTGTATGCATCTATATGTAAATATGTACACACTCGTTCTGGTAGGAAGTGCTTTATGTCATAAAACATACTGATCTTGGATCGCGTAACAAAGTTAGGGTCCTGAGGGCCAGATGTAGTGGAACTTAGAGTGTGGTGTGGTTTTTTTGTTTTGTTCTTTTTTTAATTTAACTACTGTTTAAATTAAAAACTGAACCACAGCTGATCAGCTGATACAGACTGTTGTATGAGAAACTGGGGAGGAAAAAAATACACAATCTGGATGGCTTTCTAGTGGTCCTACTCTTAAAGAAAAGCTGTCATTTATGTCATTCTTTGAGCAAGACTAGATTAAGCTAGGGAAAGATTAAGGGAAAGGGAATTCTCCATTATACTTTTGATTTGCTTCATAATATGTCTGTATAGTTTCAGCTGCTGGCACCGAAGAAGACATGAAACAATTTCAGGGGTTATTTGGTTTCCTCACTGATGTATCGATAAACATTTTTATTTATTTATTTTGATTTTTTTTTTTTAACCTTGATTCTGAAAAGCAGCTGAAATTATGCCAGAATTATAAGGTGCTTTATGGAATTGCCATACTTTTTGAAGCAATACTGATACTGACTTTATTTTTAAGACACTACATTCTGCTGTACCAAGCAAAACTGTGGTTTGTTGGTTGTTTTTTTGTGTTTTTTTTTCCTATACTAAGAAATTCCTGGGCTTTTAAACTTTCATGTAAATAGAAGTACTCAGGTAAACAGTAAAAAAAGGTGAGAGCAGTAAATGCTCAGGTAAACATTAAAATGTCATCTGCATTTTGGGTTCATCTTTACAGAATTTGCAATTTTGATCTAGTTCAATTTGATCTGTGTTGCTGCTGTTAGAAGCGTAGATACCTGTTTCTTGCAAAAGATGCTGAGACTTCTAACCATTGCTTTCTCCAAACGTGGACTTGTTTTTCTTCATACTGTAGCTAGTGTAACCATAACATTTTGCTAGATGCCATGTGAGCTATGTGCTACTTACATACTGTGACTTGGTAGGTATTACTTTTATTTCAAAATTTGTGTTTCTGAGATGTTATCTGTAGTTGTGTTCAAGTTGGGCTTGACTGCAGCTTCAGTTGAATGCTTGTTGAATGCTAAGCAGTGGCATTTTCTTTTGCCATTTGACATTAATATGTGTCCATTCTTACTCCTAGAACAACAACAACCTAGATGCCTGTTGTCGAGCCCTCGCACAGGAGAGCAACAAATACTTATATATGGAGTACCATAGCCCTGATGATACCAGAATAAATAGAAATAGCCTTTTGCACATTAATCTGGGTATTCATCCTCATACCAGCTATCATGCAGGGGATGGAGCTCAACTTAATGGTGGTCGTACACTGGTACATAGTTCAAGTGATGGACATATTGATCCACAACGCACAGCAGGTAAACAGCTGATATGCTTAGTCCAAGAACCACATTCTGCTCCTGCTGTTGTGGCAGCTTCTCCTAGTTACAATCCATTTTTCATGAATGACCAGAATAGAAATGCAGCTACTCCTCCTCCACAGCCACCTTCACAGCCATCTTCCATACAACCAGGAATGAACACGTCTGCTATGCAAGGCCCTCCTCCCACGTATATGCACATACCTCGGTACAGTACAAATCCCATTACTGTTACAGTATCACAAAACCTCCCCTCTGGACAGAGTGTACCCAGAGCTCTACAAATTCTTCCACAGATTCCAAGCAATCTCTATGGGACTCCTGGCTCTATTTATATAAGACAAACGTCTCAGAGTTCTTCAGGACGACAGACTCCTCAGAATACACAGTGGCATTCATCACCGCAGGGCCCAGTTCCACATTATTCTCCCCGTCCTCTACCTGTGTATCCCCATCAACAGAACTACCAACCTTCTCAGTATTCTCCTAAACAACCCCAGATCCCTCAGTCAGCTTTTCGATCACCACCGGCATCTCAGTGTCCCTCTCCCTTTGGCTCTCCTCAACACCAAGTTCAACCTCCTCAGTTGAGTCATCAGAGTTCACATGTTTTCATGCCTCCTAGTCCTTCAACTGTCCCATCCCATCCATATCAACAAGCATCCCAGACTTTTCAAAAACAAGGTGGTCACTCTGTATCATATCTTCCTACTTTTGCTGGACCGAGTTTATCCAAAGGTTCCATGAATAAAATAGAAATTACAGTTGAACCACCACAAAGACCTGGGACTGCAATGAACAGAAGTCCTTCACCAATAAGTAATCAACCATCTCAACGAAACCAGCATCCGCTGTATACAGCCACTACTCCTCCTTCAAGCTCTCCATCAAGAGGTATGTCAGGTCAACCCAAACCTCCATTTAGTGTTAATCCAGTATATATTACCTACACTCAACCAACTGGACCTACAGGTGCACCAACACAGTCTCCTCGGGTAATGGTTTCTCAGCCAAACCCAACCATTTTTAAAATCACAGTAGGTCGAGCACCGACTGAGAATCTTTTAAATTTAGTGGACCAAGAAGAGCGTTCTGCAGCGCCAGAACCTATTCAGCCTATTTCTGTAATCCCAGGATCTGGAGGAGAAAAAGGAAGCCATAAGTATCAGAGAAGTTCTAGTTCTGGATCAGACGACTATGCTTACACTCAAGGTAAATGTTTCACCTTACAAATTATATTAATGTAAAATGGATTTTCAGCTTGATTTTGCTACTTTATAAGTGAGAATTTTTGAATCTGTTCAGAGAAAAATAGGAATTGCACCAAAAATCTGTTACTGAGTTTGGTTTGATTTTTTTTTTTTTTTTTTTTTTTAGAAAATTTGCCAAGTTTCAGTCTAATACATAAAGAATTTCTGAGTTTCTTAAAATTGTTATGCTTTTGATATTGGGTGTCTCCTTAAAAAAAGACATTACTGCTAACAGGAGTAACTAGTTTGCTCAAATACTGTGTGTCCAGTTTGTAAATTCTGGGCTGTCAATTTATTTTATTTGTTCTGTGTTTGGATGCTTTATAAAACCTGAAGCACCAACTTCTGCAGGGAATTTGAATTCAATTTATTTGCCTTAGATTGAAGAGTACTAAGTGAAAGTGGAGCGTGAGGTAGGATTGCAGCTACAGTTACATCTGGTGTCAATAAAAATATTTTTGTTTTCAAAGGTATTAAAATAATTATTTTTAAGAACTTAATCAAAAGTTCACTCTTTCCACATAAAATTTTCAAACAGGAGAAAGTGATTGGCAGACAGATTTTAGGACATGTGTTCTGGGTTAGAATGTGGTTAGATTTGATTCCATGTATAAATGAAGAATTAAGTAATTTAGTAAAAAAAAAAAAAAATCTGACCTTTAGCTGAAAACTCTTTTTCTCAGAATAATCTGCTTTATAGATTTGAACATTTAAAATTGAGCAAAGGAATCAGTCTGCAAGCAAACCAATCATTTGGGTTAGTGACAGAATGATAATCAGTAACAATTACTGAAAGAGTGTGCTTTGTTTCATGATTTGTGTTTGGAAAAGAGAGTCTATTCCTTCCTTCTAGCCTTCCTTTCACTTTAGAGAGCTGATATAGTGATTATAATGCTGCCCTGTAGTTATTGATTTCTTATTTTGTTTTGTGTCTTTTGAGCTGTTCTAACTCATCAAAAAGGAACTGTTCTGTACCTGTTAGACCCAATTAGAGTGTTATTTAGAGAGAATGAATGCTAGCAGGTGTGTAACTCATAGGCCTTATGTTTTGTTTGATGATGTTCCTATTACAGCTTCATTAAAGATTGTAGTTTACATGAGAAAACTGTAAGTAGCTTCACATAACTGAAAAAAACATCATGAAATGTAGAAATCTGGTTTTACCTTTGCATCTTTGATGGGATTTGCGTATTTGGAAAATAAACCCAATAAAACTAGTTAGTATGTGCTTTCTGGGGAGCATCTGCTTTTGTGGCAATATCTACCACAGCTGGGACTTTATAGAGCCTTTGGTATTGTTGCACTCTGAACTCTTGATGGAAATAAATTGTAGAAGAATAAATGTTACATCCTTTGTTACAACAAAGGACTTCTAAAGAGGATTATATTTAACAGCTTAATATAGGGAACAAGGTTGTTTAATTTCCTTTTGAACATGAACCATTGTGAAATTTATTGCCAAAATCCATTCTGATGTCAGCACTTCCACTGTTTCTTTGTAGTGTGAGTCATGTTTGATGACTTGGTCTAGAGTATAATGCAAAGCTATACAATGTAGTCATACTGGGTGTTAAGTTGGAAGAGTCACACAAAACCAAGGTTTGATAGCAATAGTGCAAAATCATACAGCCTGGCATCTGTACTTTTGTGATCTCTTAGACTACTTTGACTTACACTGCTTCAGCAAGTAGGGAACAATTTTGTTCAGTAATAGTGGTATCTATACTATGAAAACTTGTGATGTTATCCTTTGATAGGATTTTCAGTGCACAGAATACTGACAAACCCCACTCATTTTTATGTTGCTGACTGTTTGTGTTTAGGGGGGTTTTGGTGGGGTTTTGTTTGGTTTTTTTTTGTTGTTCTGTTTGATTTGTTTTGGTTGTTTGGGGGTGGTTTTCTGCTCCACAGTAAATTGTGTCATATTGTTGCTAATTTTTCTAACTTTTTTTTTTTTAATTAAAATATCCTTGAGGTATGATGTGGGTTTTCTCTCCCTGTGTCGGATAGGGGTGAAGAAAAGAGCAGGTACTGGCCAGTGCTTGTCTGAATACCCACAGCAAATTTCTTTTGCTTTTCTCTGTCCTGCTAGACTTTAATCAGGTAAAACCAGCCAGATCAGAAAGTGCTAAGTATCACACTAATTGTCTTGCCCAGTTTTTGCATCATGATGAAATACTGAGAAATGCTCTTCCTGCAGAAACTTGAGTATTATTTTCTAGCTAGTCAGAGTTTGTTCTTTGGCTTCTCTGGGAGCTCAACATCAGTTTGTGACTGAGGGTCATGAATTTCAGTACCAAACCAAAAATGTCAGAGAATGATTACCAGCAGAGAGAGGTTAAAGGACAGTGAATCAGCTCTAATGTAGAACTGAAGACCCTGAAACAGCTGAGCTGCCTCTGCTTTTTATTTTTTGGATTCTCTGTCTGTTTTATTGAAGTTGTATAGATTTGCCTTTGGGCACTGGGAAACATAGAGTATTGAGAATTACAGTACTCTCTGAAAAATCTAAGACTACTTTAAAGTTGTTATAGCATAAACTGTAATAGCAGTGAAAAACTCTGTTCAGGACTGACGTTTGGCTTATGTCTCCAGGCTAGTGTGTCAGCTGCTGTTGAGCAGCATATACGAAGTGTGTTACCTTCTGATCTTACCTCTGGTATTTATTTTTTTTTTCTTTGCCAGTACAGTATTAATATAACTAGGTTGCTGTTGCATCCTGAGAAGCTGTCTCCTTGTATAGGTGCCTTTGTATTTTTGAGATGAGAAAGACCAAATGCAAAAAAAGAAGCTTTGACCAAAATGGTAATATCAACTTCAAGTTACTGTCTAAAGCGTGTTTTTATTCTGGAAGAACTTTGTTCTAAATTGTAGTTCATTTGGCATGAAAGCATCTTCACACTGATACTTGGCTGCATGTTTATGGTCACTTTTTTTTTTTCCGAGAAGGGTCACTCATGAATATTAGGCGTATGTTGACAATTCAGTTTTCTGGGGTTTTGTGTGTTAGTAACTCTTTCTTTTCCATGTACAACATTAGCCTTGCTGTTACATCAGCGAGCAAGGATGGAGAGATTAGCAAAGGAACTGAAGCTTGAGAAAGAAGAGCTAGAACGCCTGAAAGCTGAAGTCAATGGTATGGAGCATGATCTAATGCAGAGGCGGCTTCGAAGAGTTAGCTGTACAACTGCAATTCCAACAGTAAGCAATTTGTTAGTATTTTAATTCAAGATACAAATTTATTTTTTATATTTTCATGAACTGCAGTATTACAAAAAAGAAAAAAACAACATTTTGGGGTATAAAGTCTTCGATCATTGAAGGTGATTTTTTGTAATTTCTTGGCTTTTTGTAACCCAGTTCTTGTAATTTAGAAGCAGATATATGTCCAGATTTCTCAGTGTTCACAACAATTTCTGAAACTTGCATATATGTGCTTTTCTGGGCCACAGAACTGAATAGATAGTTACTTTCCTAGCAACCTATACAAGTATGTGTTCAAGTCTGTTCAAAGAGCCCATGCCATATACAGCTTGGTGTTCATGAAGCAAGGTTTCACTTTTTTGAAGTTCTTTTGTTGTATTGAAACATTTTGTTGTTTGAGGAGTTGCATCTCTCATATGCAATCTATTTCCCGTTTGGTATATGCAGATTATGCCAAGTGACTTTGTGGCCAAGTGGCAGCGTTGGCTCAAGTAGTTGGCACCCCTCTCTCACCTTTTCCGTGTTGATATTTTCTATCTGTATGGCTTCACACCTGCAAGTGACTTTAGCCCAAACACCTGTATGGCTCTGATAAGAGAATTCATTTGACTGAAAAATACCTTCCAGTTTGAGCAGTTGTTTGCCAAATCAGTTCAGACTTACTCTCTGTATTGACGTGAACAGTGCACACAGTTGTAGGCTGGAAGGCATAGTAGGGGCTTTTAGCTGCTTAACTAGTACAGCTGATGTATGTCTCCCCCGTTTCAGGGCAGCTTTCTGCAGATATGTTCCAGGGAGGAGTACAGAGGTATTGTCTTGAGTGTGCAGGGAGGAGGTTAGGAAAGCCAAAGCCCAACTGGAGTTGAATCTAGTACAGGATGTCAAAGACAAATTGAAGGCTAGTGAAAATGTGGGCCCATTGCTTAACAATACAGGAAGCCTGGTTACATAGGACATGGAAGAGGCTGAGACTGAATGCCTTCTTTACTTAAGTCTTTACAGGCTTTCAAGAATCCTTACTCCAAGAGAACCCCAGGAAAAGTCCAGAGCAAGGAAGGTATACCTTTGGTGGAAGAGGATTAGGTCAGGGAATACTTAAGCAAAGCAGATACACCCTGAGTTCATGGTCCTGGATGGGATGCTGAGGGAGCTGGCATATGTCATTGCAAGGCCACTCTATATAATATTTGATTGATAATGGTGTTTGGGAGCAATGCCCAAAGACTAGAGGAGAGAAAATGTCACTTCTGTCTTCAAGAATGAATACCCATGGAACTATAGGCTGGTTGGCCTCACCTTGATCCCTGGGAAAGTGATGGAGCGGCTAATCCTGGAGACTCTTTCCAGGCACATTAAAAGCAATCAGTAGTCAGCATGGATTCACAGTGGCAAAGTCAAGTTTCAGAGTTGAATAAACTTCTAGGATGAAAGTACTTTCCTGGTAGATATGGGGAGTGCAGTGGTTGTTTACCTAGACTTCCCGTAAGGCTTTCAACATCATCTTATTTAAGATTTTCATAGAAAAGCTGATGAAGTGGGGGCTGGATGAACAGCAGTGTGGATTGAAAATGGGCTGAATAGCCCGGCCAAGAGTGTGGTAATCAGTAGCACAAAGTCTGGTTGGAGGCCAGTGCTAGCAGTATACTGCAGGGGTCAGTGCAGGGTCTGATCCTGGTTCACATCTTCCTTAATTATCTGGGTGATGGGGCAGGGTGTACCCTCAGCAAGTCTGCTGATGACACAAAACTGGGAGTGTTGTGCTGCCATTCAGAGCAACCTCAACAAACTGAAGAAATGGAGTGGCAGGAAATTAACGCCATTCAGCAAGGGGAAGTAGTAAGTCCTGACTTGGTGACAACCCCATGCACCAGTATAAATTGGAGGATGGCCACCTGGAAAACATTTTTTCAGATAAGGCCCTGGTGAGACCAAGCTGAAAATGGGCCAGCAATGTGGCAAAGGCTAATGATACCCTGGGCTGCGTTAGGAGTGTTGCCAGCAGCAGGGGGGAAGTTACCCTTCCCTTTTATTCAGCACTGTTGAGGCCACACTTGGAGTATGCTGTCCAAGAGTGGGCTCCCCAGTACAAGAGAGAGGTCATACTGGAGAGTCTAGTGAAGTGCTGCAAAAATGATTTACCATCTCTCCTGTGAGGGCTTGCTGAGAGAGCTAGGACTGTTCAGCCTGGGGAAGAGAAGACTTAAGGGGTTCTTGGCAATGTACAGAAATACCTGAAGGGACGGTCCAAAGAGAGTAGAGACAGGCTTTTTCCACTGGTGCCTGCTGGAAATGGACACACACTGAAACACAGGAGGCGGTGGGCAGAAACTGAAATACAGGATGGCCCCTCTGAACATAAGGAACCATTTCTTTACTATGTGGTTGACTGAGTACTGCCACAGGTTCGCCCAGGAGATGTGGAGTCTTCATCTCTGGAGATACTCAAAAGCCCTTTGTCATCTGGGCCAGGTGACCTCCAGAGGTCCCTAACAACCTTGAACTCTCTGTGATCTTGTTGACTCTGTGATGCTAGAATATATCCTAGGATAAGATGGTTATTCCTACATACGTGTTAATAATCACTGCTGCTAGCACTAAGAGCGCTTTGTATTGCAGTAACTTTGGGTTTCTTAATGGTATGCAAATATATGGATTTAAGTAACTGATTATTAAGAATAATTACTGCCTTGCAGCATTGAACTATTTAAATATACTGAGTTAGAAGGTTTGTCGTGTTGGAGCTCTTTGGGGTGATGCATATAAATAAACCTCTGACCTTACTTGGTTATAATCAAATAATAATTAATGTGAACTGCAGCTCGTATGCTGTTTCCTAATCATCTCAATTTAAGCTCACATAGCAAGTCATCTGTTTATGCAGAATTTTGTAAGGTGCATGGTTTTATAAACTTGAGCCTAGCTGTATCTTCTTACTCATTAATTTTAATATTACGTAAGTTGTTAATTTTCCTCCTCAAATGCCAGCAGAAGAATATTTTTTGAGAGAATAAATTGGGTTGGGGGAATGGGACAGAGTGGGCTCTTGGCTTTCTTTTCAGTGTCTTATCCATATTCAGTTTCTAATAAGGATGTTACAGATGTAGCAAAGTTATTTCTATGTCAGATAAGGTACTAACTTTCCCACAACTACTATTTTGGGTTGTTTCTTTCTAGCCTGAGGAAATGACCAGATTGAGAAGCCTCAACAGACAGCTCCAAATAAATGTTGACTGCACACTGAAAGAAGTTGATCTCCTTCAATCTAGAGGTATACAATTGATACTTAAAAAAAAAAATCCACCATAATTTATGGGTTTAATAATAATGACTGGGAGTGTTGATCTCCTTGAGGGTATGAAGGCTCTACAGAGGGATCTGGACAGGCTGGATCAATGGGCCAAGGCCAGTTGTGTAAGGTTCAGCAATGCTCAGTGCTGGGTCCTGCACCTGGATCACAATAACCCCATGCAACAGGCTTGGGGAAGAGGTAGTAGTGAGGTAGGTACCGATCTCTTCTCCCAGGACAAGAGGAAACTTTTACAGTCCATATACCTCAGGCTTAGAAATAGGCTGCCCAGGGAAGTGTTTGAGTCACCATGCCTGGAGGTATTTAAAAGATGTGTGTGGGACTTACAGACATTGTTTAGTGGTGGGCTTGGCAATACTAGGTTAAGGGTTGGACTTGATCATCTTGAAAGTCTTTCCCAACCTAAACTATTCTGTGATTCTAATGTAGTATGTGCTCAAATTTGGATACTTGGACTCTTTAAAGTTCACTTTTGTTTATCAATATCAACTTCTTTTTCAGTTGCAACCTGATAAACTTGACTTTCCAGTATTTCTGTTGGCCAGGTTAAATTACGTTACCAAGAAAGTGGTGACTTAAAGTGACTTTGTCAAGAGCAAATGGAAAAAAAAAACAAACAACCAAACTGGACACAAACCAACCAAAAAACGACCATTAAGTAAACGTTCTTTGCTTAAATTTTTACCTGTTTGTTGATGGAAGCTCTGACCGTATAATGCAAAACAGAGGTACAGGTTGCACCCAAGAAGCTGGCAAGCAGAAATCTACTTTGGTCTTTTAACATCCTTTTTCTATGACAGAAACTTTGACATAAATACAGTCAAGTAGATTGGAATATGCATACCAGGAATGCTTCCTGCAGAAAAATTTACATTTTCACCTATTTTTAAAGTAATACAGAATGTTGAGCTGGAGTTGATTCTTCAATATGGGATTGTCCTGTAAAAAAAAAACAGCTAGAATCAACACGAAACTGAAAATATGTGACAAAAGATTACTCGGGAAAAAGCTAATGTGTAGCAGCATAATAAAAAGACGTTTAAAATATGAATCTCTATATGTTCATATTGCTGGCATATGTATGTAAATAACCTTCTCACTTGTCTTCTCTGACAGGGAACTTTGATCCAAAAGCTACGTGTAACTTCTATGATAACATAGAGCCTGGTCCTGTTGTGCCACCAAAGCCATATAAAAAGGGTAGGTCAACAAACAATCATCAGGTTACCTAATGTGCAGGGAGAGCTTTTCTCCTTTTTTTAAAAAATCCCTGTGATGACAGAAAGCAATTCTAATGTTTATAATTTTTGTCTATATATGAACCAAACCAGAATGATTTTGTGTAAGTACACGAACCCTGGCTACAGCTTGTTTTCCTCAGGCAGCTTTTTGCAATGAATGCTCTGTTAATGTTGTTTCTAAATACTGTTATTCACTACTAGAAAGGGAGTGGAAAGTATATAAACTTTTACATGTTAACTTGAGCTTCCTAATTAAGTTTCTTTTAAATACTTCAAGTTGGAAAGTTCTGTGTCAGGTTTGTTTTGCTGTCCTCTAATATGTGTTTAGTTTTTATAGTTCAGTTGGTTTATTTTATGCAAGTCACAGCAGCTTTTAAAATTTGCATTGTATTTTAACTTACCTGGTCACACTTTCAATATTTTTGTTCAAAGTATGGATTTCACAGTAGCCCTGAATTTTTAGCACAGCAAGAGCATGGGATGTCTTTAAGAACCAAGACGGAACACATTTCCTCACGTGGCTCTAAGGAGATAACAGTGTCCCACTTGTACAAATTCATTACTGGTTTCTAAACTTTTCTGGGCTACTTGTATAGTATCTAGGACTCGTATGTATAGTGGGACACTTAAGTTTTATGTATGCACAGGAGTTAAGTGCTTAGTCTCACTTCTTGTACAGTGGAGATTCAGTTAGTATATCCCAAAGTGACTCAACACCTAGTCACTGTTCAGTAGCTTTCTGAACTCCACTATATTTAGTGGTAATTTTTGTGCAGAATCATACCCTTTGTCTGGGGGTGGGGGACCTTTTGGTTTGATCTTGTTGTTTTGACTTTTATTTTTCTTGCTGGAATCTGTGAAAAGAATGGTTTCAAATGTTAGTGGAAGTTTTTAAACACTTTCTGTCTTTTTGCTGAAATAGCCAGTCTGGAATCTTGTGCTCTGATAAAGAGAAAACAGTGGTCTCATCACATACAACATTTTCAGATAAAAGATTTATAATATTTGTTTGGTTATGTAGTTAAGGCCTTGCTACTTCATGATACGTAAAGAGTTTCTGTTTATTGCATTAGCCTATTTGATTTATTACAAATAACATGCAAAATAACATGCAAAACTTACATGAAATAAATGATTTTATTTGGCAGTTGGAAAGATAATGTACAGATTTGTACAATTTTTATGACTAGCTTTCTGGTTGGCTGTGAGCTTACTAGAGGTAATTTTAGGGCTAGTGTACTGTCTTCTGAGTTTGGCTTTTAACATGGAGTCATCAAAATTGTTTGGCTTGTTTTTTTCTCCCCTTAAAATTGCAGTCCCCTAATACTCAGTTGTTGAAGCTGTGGGCAGGCAGACATATCTGAGCAGACAATGGTTTGCTCTGTGCTGCTCTCTGGCCAGTCAGCATGATGCAGTCTAGTGTCCCACTACTTGCTTGCTTAGAAGGAATTTGTTGAGGCCAAGCACTGTTAATGTAACTATACCACTTCTGGACTGGAAGAAGGTTTACATCTAAGCAAGGAGGTTACTTTTGTTTTCTTTAAGTATGCCTCTCAAGGCAAATCTAAATACTGTTTGCATTAATGTTGCCATCAGCCACCTACTAGACTTCTTAGCAGATGACAGCAGTGTGTGCACTTTGAATTAAAAATTGCAGTTCTTTTTTTTTCAACATGAGTTTTCTTTTAATTAGGCTGTTCTACAGATGTTTGTTTAGCAGATGCGTATCTTAACTTTACCCTCTGGGTATGTGTGCAAATGTTGTTTTAAACATTAACATTATATAAAATGTTGTTTCCACATCCTAGGAGTATTTGTCACTTTTAGTTGATTACCTGTGGTCTTGAAGTGGTGGTAGGAGAAATCAGGTAACCAAGTCTGTGGGTTAATACCCATGTATGATTTGCATATGGGTTGACTTTATGAGTGAAAACACTTAAGTGCTGCTTCACATACATACATCCCTGCTGCAGAGCCATGAGGAATTAAAACAATCATCTTGTTTTGGAACAGGCCTTTCATTTTATTTTTATGTTGTAGTTTCGTCAGCCAGGATGAAAGCTAGATAAAGATGCAGAAAATAGATCATTTCTCAAACTGTTTGAAGGAGCTAAGTTAGAAATAGTCTTTTACTTTAGGTAAAGTAGGGTTATTGGAATTTAGAATTTGGTAAGAGACTGCTGTATGTAAAGCTGTGAAGTCATTCCTTAGCAGGATGGCGTTGCAGTGCCAGTAACAAACTTTTCAGTACATTTTAAGCTATTTAAACCTTTGGCAGTATCAGTGGCCTAACAGTAGTGACTGCTCATTTTGTTTTTATTGTAGTATGTTGACTACTTTCTAGAAGTGAAATACTTCAGTATTTCACAAACTGAAACAGAAATGCTTTAGTGAAAAAGACCTGTAATGTTACCTAAGTGGAAAGGTTTCAACCTTCACTTTAAGACAGAATGTTTAATGAGGTGACAAACCATGGTAGTGTGATCTTGCCTATCATCCTTCTCTTCTGGAAAAAGAAAAAAAAAAAAAATGCATGTTTTCCTTTGCCTTTTTTTAGAGCATCAAAGCAGCTCCAAACAGACTCCACGGACTCATCCAAGAGATGAAGATTTTGAAGGGGCTCCATGGAATTGTGATAGCTGCACCTTTCTAAATCACCCAGCACTAAATCGCTGTGAGCAGTGTGAAATGCCGAGATACACCTGAAAATCAGGAAGGGGCTGCATTGGGTTGAAAACAGGCTCTCAAGCCAACAGCTGTAGGAGAAGGAAACACGGGGAACCTTTCACTCCATCTGCCCGGCCTTTGCTAGTCAACAATCTTCATACTGCAAGGGGTGGGAGTAATGTGGTAGGATGTTTCTGCTGGTGCTACACTGAAAATGAACTAATTAAAGGTGAAATTCTTTCTTATCCCATTGCAGTGAGCAAAGCAGAAAATGAAACCTGAAAATGTAAAAGGATTAATTTTTGGGAAGAATGTATACAGGAAAGCAAATAACTACTGGTGTTTAGTCCTGTGGTTATAGTTACTGCTTAGTTGCTCAAGAAAAAAAAAAAAACAAACTTTTTTTTTATTTTTTTTTAAATAAAAAATTATAGGATGCTTAGTAATGGTGTGAAATACTACACTTAACCAGAAACTGAAGAGCCAGAGCTGACTTAACCTGGCCACAGCTAGCTGGAAAACAAAGGCTCCCTGTGCTTCTAGATTGTAAGCTACTGAAAAAAGGAGACAGGTAAATGCAATGATAAATTTTACAATGTATAAAAAAACAAGGAGAAGGTATTTGTAATGCTGCTTTTTTTCAGGGTAACTTATGTCTACAAGAAAAATTGCTGTTTGAAATAGTAACCTAAGGTGACTAAATGAGATACCGTATGAGTGTTAGAGAGTTTAATCAGAGGTAATTTTTTACAATCCCTTTTGCTTGTACAGTGCTCACCTGGCTGTGTCAACACTGGTAATAAACTAAGAATGAATTCTACCATATTACAGACAAAACTACTGCTGCATGCTTTCATTAGGCCGTTGTATTTCAAAGGTAAAAGTATGCTTTTATATACAACAATCTTCTAAGCCTGTGCTATGTAGCAGCACAGCTACATATGCCAAACACAGACTACTCCAAATTCAGTTTGGAAGACTTGAGCTCAGCCATGGTTGTGTATGAGAAGAATTTTACCCAGCTCTTTAGGCCTTTTCAGCTTCCAATTCGTGAAGAATTCTTGATGTTTACAGCACAGAAGGTACTTTGTGCCCCAGTTCAAAGTTAGCTGAAAAATAATTAATCAGTTAGCTCTTCAGTAAAGGTTTATTTGCACATTGTTAATAAACCAGCCTGTATAAAATAGCAAATGCCAGATCTTGAAAAATTACACACCGCATTCTTTTTATTTTGTTCAGGAAATACTTGCCGTAGGTTGAAGAACACAAGACTTGCAACTGAAAATCACACTGGTACTTTCATGCATACGATATACTGTATTATAAAAGTGATGTTCAATTTGTTTGAATGCTTCAGGTTGCTGTAATAAAGCACTCAATACTTGTGAAATCGAACTTGGGTTTGGGCAGCTGAATGATTATGTTACACACTGTGTGACTGAGTAGAATGTTCTTGTGTACTGGTGAGAAGCTGGTACAGTGCATTTGAGTTTTTTGCATCTGATTCTTTGTCAAGAGATGCAACCAAGCACATCAGCTGAATCATGGTAATTGACTTTGCAACTGTGAGGCAAAATGTGCTAGCTAAAATTTAGCAGAAGACTACTTCATTTTAGATAGTTTTTAGCTTATGGCAACCACATCCATATGGTCAGTTATCACAATTCTCTTGATGTGTGATAAGATGTTAAGCTGTGGTAGAACAATCATGTGTCTGAATCCTTTTTTAAAATAAAGCAGCTGTTATAAGGGGTGGGTGGAAGAAAACTCATCTTGACTTCACTGCTCAATCTGGTGTCTTCTCTCCCTGCAATTTGTAAAGGTAACAGTAAAAACCAAATTGTGATCTTAGATGAGGAACCAGTATTTTTATCTAGCATTTTTTCAATATGTTCTTGCACTAATTAAATCTTCAGCATTGTCTTAAATAAGCTAAGAGAACTCCAGCAATCAGTGTGCACCACTGATGAGCAAAACAAAGTCAAAGGCATCAGAGCTAGTTTTTCTTCCTTCCTAATGATTTATATTACTATGTGGGGAGCTCATCACATGTGGAAAGGAATAAAAAATTCAGTGTCAGTTGAAGTTAGAAAGCAAATATTAATTTTGGTCATGTAGGTGGACAGTTTGACAAAACTGAGATAAATAGAAAGATGAGCAGAAACATTATACCTAGGATGAGCAGTGCCATTGCTGTTATCAGCTGTATAATGAATTACTCAAAACAATACCAGTAACTTCATGACTTTTCTATTGTGATGCCTTTGCCTTTGTATTATTTCAATTTTCTGTTCATTTGTACTAATGCTGAAGTTCTAGAAGCGTTTGTTTTTGCTGGAAATACAAAATGATAACAACTGAAATGAGAGTTAGCAAATGAGAATAGGTGTGTCATGCATCAATACAGTTGTGCCGTTTTCAGACAGAATAAATGCTACTTTTGAAGGGGGGCAGGGGAGGAATATATGTAGTCCAATAATTCCCTGAACTGTAATAACCATAAATGGAGACTTGGAGTATCTTAGTTGTAGTTTCACCAGAGGAAGAGAAGGAAGGCTGCCATGACAGCAAAATGCTTTTTGGAAGACTGAGTGAGTGCAGTTAAATTTTAAATGAATTCCTTCATACCAATAATACTCCAGTTTTTCAATTACTCTAATTTTTTGCCTGTACAAAAAAAAAAACCCAATGAATGCTTCTGTTCTGTTCTTTTCTTGTAAATGCCCATCCTTAAATATTAATAGTAAAGACTTTACATGGTGCTTGAATATTCCTAGTTTGTTGGAATGTAAATTGTATTTTGAATATCGGAAGATCCATTTTCCTTCTGAAAGAAGGTGGCGCCGTACACACCCCAACTGAATTGTAGATTATACCAAAAAGATTGGTTTATGTAATATTTATTGAATGCACATAATGTCAGCTGGCATATGAAATGCACTGTATTGTATAAAACGTGTGTGTGTGTGTGTGTGTGTGAATGGTGGGATGCTGATGCCATTGTGTTGAGTTAATGCACTACTTGTGTTTTGTTTTGTTTTTTTCTTAATGACTGAGCTTTCCCTCAACCATGCTACTAGATTGATAGAGTTTGTAACTGACTTGGACATTCAGATATTCAAAATTACTTCACTTTTCATGGAAATTTTATAAAGCTTATTTTGTATTTACTGTGCTATTAAGAATAATTCCCTTTTAATTATAGAATACTACTGTAGTTCTTTAAAAGTTTATTTAGAGTGGGGCTTGTGGAAAATGATTCAGAATATAGTAAACCAAAAGAAATCCTGAACTTTGGATCTGTTTTTAATTTTATGTAATTATTAGTCTTTTTATGGGTGAAGAGGAGGAAAGGGGTGGGAAGTCAAGCAAAAGGAAGTCCTTTGTAAAATGTAGTCTTAGATCAGATTGAATTGTGTATCTGTGTGTCTGTGGTATGTGTGTGTTTCCCTTGAAAAATGGGAGGTGTGGTGAAAAGGTGTAATAATTCTTAAAAGAGCTGGTCTCAGTACTTAATTATGATATGCTACTAAATCACATTTAAAGAAAATCCAACAACTTTCCATTCAGTTGCTTTATCCCAGCTATACATCTCTCATTTCAATTTCTAAGTACTTTTACATTTAATGTTGATTGTAAAACCCCTTGAAACTGAAATAAAAATACTTGAGTTGAAGTGGGGACAAAACCAAACCAATAAAGAATGTTTTAAAAAAGAATGTGAGAATATTAAATATGTTGAAAACCAGCTTGTCATCAAGATGATAGTTTTTGTTTTAAAATTCAGTGGTGTACCCTAGAATGTGAAAATGACTATCCTGATAAGAAGTGGACAGTTGGACATAAACAATTCATCAGCTTGTTTGGTACCACAGAATTTACATGCTCTCTACTACAGCGACTCTAAATCCCGTAAGGAAAGACAACGTGTACAGGTATCACATCTCATAGTAGTACTGTTTCTATGTGCTGCTGCATTTGTTTCGTTTCAAAATGTCAATATTATACAAACCTAGACATGACTGAATTCTGCCAGACTTCTTCAGTTTGGGGCTTTCACTGCTGTTTATGTCCATAAATATTAATGCAAATATTTTTCTTGGGTTTGAATAATCAGAAATCAGTGGAGTTAATGCAATATTATAATCCTGGATTTTCACCTTTGAAACCGATTTTGAAAGAAACCTGTGTTCTTGAAACTTATTTATTTATGGTGACACCAGTGTATCTAATCCATATTTCCTGCTGTGTGAAACCCTGTTAATTTTTTCATTAAAAAAGAAGACACAGTCTTGTTTAATCCTGTATATATGGTGTCTACATTCTAGATTTGTGTATGCTGTGAATGAACTTATTACTAAGAGATGAAATTGTATAAAAGCATTCAGAGGCTATGCATGCATGGTACCTCCAGAAAGTGCATACTCCGAGTTGCAGATTCCTGCAAAAATAAATTAATAAAACTAAGCAAACATCACATCCTGCATTTGTTCTTCTATATAGTAGGAAACATTTAAGAAGTACAGCCTTTTTGCTTTCATAGCCCAATTATTTCTGGTCTTTCACTAGAGCCCTTAGCAATAGCAAATTTGTTTCAGGGCTCTTGGGGTTTTCTTTTGATGATTGGTATAATTCTCATTAGGCAATTGCTGAACAGAGAACTGGGGTGCAGATCTTGTTCCTGTGAAGGTAGACAGCTTTTATAAGTGGGAGTCCCATTTAGATGATTGTATTCTGTGAAGCCCCTGGTGTAGAAACAGGATATAGGATGTTCAGAGTGTGAAAGTGGGCTCATCACTTTTCTTGTACTTTGGAATGGAAAGCTCTCATTAAAGGAAGAGCTTTCCCTGCTCCAGCAGATTGTCACTTTTGGTTGGGAGCCTTCACTGCAGGCATTCCTGCTCATGCTTGTAGTATCTGGATTGCAAAAATTCCATCTTCTGCTGTAACCTCTTGCAGAAAGGCACTGCTCTAGGAGAGGATGGAGAATTTGAAACGCATAAATCAGTTTGCAGGCGATTTCATTAGTGTGTCTTCTCAATTATCTTGATTGCATCAGCTCATCATAATCTAAAACTTGGAAGCTGTGCCTCAGCTGTGTTTTGTTCACATGTGGTTTCAGTCATTAAACACATTCTGGTCTAACAAAACCACTGCAACTTTGTGTTTGGGCTTTTCTCATCAAACGTATGTAAGGATTTAGTTTTGCATTTCTTTTGCAAAATTGAATTTATAAAAAAAAATAGGATAGCTTTGCGTTTAAATCAAGCATTTCATTAACTTTAGAAATTATTGCAGTTGAAACTTAATGTTTTAATGAAAGTTTCAAAGCTTTAAACAAAAGCTAGAAAATGTTAAGGTACCTGTAAACTATATGCTGATGGAGAACACACAAAGGCAAAAAACACTAGGTCTAACAACTGAATGTCTTCTGTTTTGTTGTTTCCTTGATCTCATGAGGACTATCTGCCTGGAATAACTGCATAAACCTAGTTGACTTATTCGTACGAACTGCTTGATTTTGACAGTACTGCACCTTGTCTTAAACCTGTGGTGCCTAGAGGTTTGTCTTATGATCTGCTGAGTACTCCAGCGATGAACTGCTGCTGCTTCTGATCAGTCACAATGATCTGTAGTGCTGGGTAAGCACTGTGTATTCTTTAACTGCACCCTTTGTGACTGTAAATACGCTTTTAGGAAGGAAGTGACTGAGATAACTGATTTCACCTCACAGCTGGATGGAAATGTTTGTATACAAAGTGTGTTATGTGATGTTCAGTGAAAACCTTGTAAAGTTGTTACAGAAGGGGCTGTATTAGTTGTTGGGTAGACAGTCTGCAATTGTGACATGTTCTAGTTTGACGTAAAAATCAGGCCAGATGCATAGAAGCATCTTGGAGGAGTGCCACTATTTTACAAAGTATTTTCTCTCTAGGAACAGTGATGTTTTGATTTAAAGAAAAAAAATAATCATAAAACCTTCACTCTGCAGATTTTTTTTTTCTAGTTAGGCAAGACTTAAACCCTTGAATGCAAGTATTTGCTGATTTTGCAGGTTCCATTTTGAATATTCTTACAAATTAAGTGTCCTTTACTCCAAAGCTATAGTGATCTTGCTGAAATTAGTGAGGGCTCCCTTGCTAGTTTTGCTTTTTAAACACAAAAAGGTAGATGCAGTTCTGTTACTACTTTGGAAACAAGAAGCCTCTGAATGAAGGACATGAAACACAGGTGCTACTTGATTTTAGACTAAAAACTTCATCTTTTTGGAAGTGTTAGGAAAAAAAAATTAGGCATGTGGAGGTGTTGTTTTTTTTTTTTTTAGAAAAATACAGAATATTTCAGGAAAAAAAACTCTAGGTGCGAGAGGTTATCATAGGTTATCATCTGGTTCCAGACTGGTACAGCTTGTCGGTATGTTGTGTAACTGGTACTGAATTCTGGCATTGGTTACAAAGTCCAGGAGTAGTAGCAGTGTGCCCGTAACTGCTGGTGCACAGCTGCTTGGCTGAAACAGGATGCATCTTTGGGAAGCATTTAATAGTCACGTACTATGGCCCTGTGTCTTGTGCTTGGACATGCAGCAAGTAGGTGACACTGGGCTTCCCTACCCTAAATCAAAGTCACAAGTCACAGCTCAATGAATAGTTAGCACAAGTGCTTAAGGGTTCTCTGCTGGTTTGTTCTCATGCATCCTGAACCAGCCTTCCATATCCCTGGCATTGGGGATTATTCCTCACTTGGATTTTTTCTTCTTTAAATTTGAGGCTATTCAGTTAACTCCACTGACTTGGCAAAGCTGGAGTTGCTTTTGGCAGAGTAAATTGGACTTTTTGCAGATTATCCCATGCACTGGAGAGTGCCTAGTGTGACTCTGCCCAGGGTCTTCATCCGCGTGTGGTACTCTGTGGACCTAGCCATCAAAGAGGAGAAAAATAGTCAAATACGCTTTCCAGACAGATAGAAGCAGGGTCTGAGAAACCTTTGGAGGGAACGCCTTATATCTTTATGATGATTTGTAAATTCTTTCTGCTGATTAGACTTCTGTACATGCTTTGCTTTCTTCATGCTGAACAGCTGTGGTGGTGAAAAGCTTTGGTCATCTCATCACTGCAGATACTGAAGCCTGATGGGTTGGCTTAGCTGCTGTTCCAGGTAGCTGATTTTAACTTGATTGTTTTTTCCCTCACATTTGTCTTAAATGATTGTTCATAAGCCATTCTTTTTTCTTTTTTTTTTCACTGATCATTATATATGATCATGGATCTGTCACTCATCATTATCTTTCAAACTGTGAAATTTTCAAAGCTCCAGTGAGTAGGTTATGAGCTGTGTGTATGTTCACACTCTTCTTCACAGCACAGATACCTCAGGTCAGTGTTGTACCACACAGAAAGAGCTTGATAAATACTTTATATATCTATAAAGCAAATCTTAAAAAACACATAGATTTTGAAACTTACCTCAGGCTTTACTACTACTTTTTAATGAGTCTGAGAAGCAGGCAGTCTGACTTGATCCTGTAGCCCTTTCAAGAAGCTCAAGCCAGTGCTGCTTGAAGTAAGCATTGTTATCTCTGGTAAAACA